CCTACGGAATAATCAATGATCTAAATCTTAATATGAGTCCGAGGTGCTTACACTAGGGCAGGTCATGGATGAGTGAAAAAGTTGCAGATTTTGGTCACGTGCATCGGCATTTTTCAAGATTTTGCGGTTTTGAAGCCTCTGGAGGAGCTGGTTTGGCCTGAGATGCCCTTTGCTCCCCCCGAGAGCGACTACGGCGATGGCGACAATGAGACGATGGAGCACCTAGGGCAGTTCCGGGATACTTCGGTATGTCCTTCTAGTGCCAGTGGATCTTCGTCTCAGGCAGGGCAGATGGCAGGATATGTATGCGGTGACACGCCCACTTAGAACGCCATTTGTTGATATTTGATTTGATGAAGATGCCTCATGATAGTGCATTCCCTTGGCCACTGCAAGGCCACCCCAAAGGAGCTAGAGCTCTTCTGGAACTTGATGAATGCCACCTCAGTTTGCAAAGTGCTTGATGAGGTGGACAGTTCAGGCCTGCAATGGATGCTTAAAAAGCTTAAATGGCGAAGTCCTCCAACATGCCAAGTCGTTGATGCTGCTTCTTCAGGTGAAGAGTCAACTAGCGCCGGCAGCAGTGATGCCCTGAGGGTTGGAGCTAACTCAGGAACTGTTGACCAGAGGTCGGTTCAGTTGCAATTATTTTGGTTAAAGGATGTTCAAGGTTTTTCGATTGGTGAATCGCTCTAAACATGAAGCCATGACTGTCCCCACTTGCACCATTTACCCAGAAGTCTCAGGTGGGTCGCCTAGCAGCTCCTCCTCCTCAACAGACAGTGCCGATGTGAATGCAACCAACCTCGCAGCAGAAGCTATGCAGAAGGAGCAAAGGGTAGAGCAGCCCCAGGCAGGTGTCAAGATACAAGTGTTGGTTCCAACACATCTCGAATGCGTACCTGTGGGACCCCTTGGTCTGATTTTTGGTGGATGTTTTGCAGTACAGGCAAATGCTACCCTCTCTGCTTGGATCTCAGCTAGTGCTGCCTTTGAAACTCAAGAAACATATAACATACAGTATATCATACCTATTATATCATAATATATTATTAATATATAATTATAATATTATTAATGTATATTAATATTATATTATATATATATAGAGTTTGGATAAAAAATCACATGGAAGCTGGGATCCAGACCATGTATGAGCTCACGTGTTCTCACAGAATCATTCCATCAGACCAAAGTGGTAGTAGAGATTCGTATTTGCGGAGATCAAGGACTTTGATGGTCTGCAGCAGCGCCCAAGCAAGGAGCCGAAAGTTCTGTAGTGCAAAGACCGTTTCCATTGGCACAAAAAAAACTTTCAAAGAAGTTTCACGATTGGAAGAAAGTCAAGTTGCATTGAGTGCAGGAGGGAGATGCCCTACGTGAGGCACAAGAGGCGCAATCACTGGATGTGGACACAACACATTTGCAAGCTCTGTGTTCCAACAGCTCGGGCAAAGGGTGGCCCAGAGGTTTTGGGATGTTTGTGCGACAGGTGACCCCAAAAGAGCTGGAGCTCTTTCGGAAGTTGATGGGCGAGCTGAAGGAACCTTCACTAGACCGGCAGTGAAAACCAATCGATAGAAAGGCAAACGTAGAGAAGTGTGATAGGAACAAATATGGAAGGAAGATGATGGCTTCAAAGAAACCAGGGGTCAAAATAATATAGCACACCCAAAACGTCTTGCATTTTCAGCTCTAAGCCCTATTGAACCGATTGTGGAATCATTTTGTAGGATTCCCGTTGGACCCCTCCATGTTGTAGTTTGGCTGTTTGAACGCCTTGACATTAGCAGACTAGCATGACTAAGCCTTAGCTGAATCCATATCTGATTCTTCCTATAAAATCGTCAGTTCATCACACGTCAGTTCATCAATTTGAGATCCATAAGGATATCATAGGATATCCTAACCATATCCTAACCATTCATGGCCATTCTCTGCGAGGAGAATCAGCAGGATGCCCATGGAGCTCTTGGTGTCGGCAACCTCCGTGAGGTGGCATGGTATCGTGATGGGGTGAATTTCATGTGCCCCAGCGACTGGAAACCCGTGCCCCTGTGAGGAGCCTTTTGTTGCTCTCTTGTGTAACATGGGCAGGGTCTCGAATCCTGCATCCTGGATATGCAACGGCACACGTCTTGGTGCATTTTGCATTTTGGAGATTGCCATGCTGCAACCTGTGGAATCCCTTTAATAATCAAAAGACATGTAGCAAGTATTTCTTTTTTTCGTGACTATTATTTACGAAAGCCAGCCAGGAGGCTGGCTAGTTGTTATTTGCGAACAAGTGAGAATAGGGGTCTGGGGTGGGTAGTTGACAAAAGGGATCCAAATCATTGTAAATAGGTGGTAAAAACTGGGTGCAAAAAGTCTTGTTTTCAGGGTAATGTACCATGCGGCAAAACAGTGACGGTAGGGAATCCATTCCCCCTGGGTCCGGTTTTTTTTGGGTCAGTCAGGTGGACAGATAGATGGGAGAGAAAATGGATCTCTGGGTAAAAAGTTATGTGCAAGAAGAGTTTCTGGGTGAAGAGTCTCTGGGTGAAAAGTATGTGCAAGAAGAGTTTCTGGGTGAAGAGTCTCTGGGCGAAAAGTATGTGCAAGAAGAGTTTCTGGGTGAAGAGTCCCTGGGTGAAGAGTATATGGGTGAGGGCGAAGACCGTGTCAGCCAACAGGGCTGCGAGTCAGCCAACCTGAGTCAGCCAACAGGAAGGCGCGAGTCAGCCAACAGGAAGGCGCGAGTCAGCCAACAGGAAGGCGCGAGTCAGCCAACAGGAAGGCGCGAGTCAGCCAACCAACCAGGGCGGCGCGATTCAGACAACCAGGCCGCAAGTCAAACAACCGGCCGCGAGTCAGCCAACAGGTCACGAGTCAGCCAACAAGTCGCGTGTCAGACAACCCGGTCGCGAGTCAGCCAACCAGTTTGCACGCAGGACATGAAAAGAAAGAAAATGAAATGAGGGGGAGCCGTGAGAGGACATGAAAGGAAATGAGAGGAAGTTAATTTCTTTGTACTTTTCTCGAGCGATCCCCACCCTGACACACTAATTGTTACATAATTTCTGACGTAGCAGGAAGTATAAATGGCATATCTATATCTATAATCTATATATATATATAAATATTGTATTCTAACATGCTTTCTGACATTTTTTCTGGCACATATGCTGATTTTGAGATGCTTGGCACGTTGCAAGATGCTTGAAACGTTTCACAACATTGTCGACGAATGACCGTGTGATTATTTTGGGGGTGGAGGAAGGTGGGGTGGAGGGGAGGTGGGGGGAAAACTTTGTCCGACACAGGCACATGCAGCTTGTGACACGCTCTTGATGCTCGGCTCTGAACCTTTTCCAGTCACTTTTTGAGCCGGTCTTGACGCTATGCTCCGAATTTTCTCTTGTAACTTGTCAATGATGGCACATTTAGAAGATGTTGTGAGTTTGCAAGATAGTTGGCACGTTGCAAGATGCTTGGCACGTTGCAAGATGCTTGAAACGTTTCACAACATTGTCGACGAATGACCGGGTGATTATTGTTGGGGTGGGGGGGTGGGGGGGAAGGTGGGGTGGGGTGAGGTAGCTTTCCCCTTTGAGGGAGCCCTGGAAAACTATGTTACAACACCTGCGGACAAGAGTGAGCGACAGCACTTCTTTTTACACGCGGTTTGCTGCTAATCTTGAGCCATGCGGAGTGCGCATGAAAGATATGAATTAAGTGTACATGTCAACATGCATGAAAGCAATGTGTAGACACGTAAAACAAAATAAATAACAAACAGACACAAATTTTCTTCGTGTCGGAACATGCAAGTCTGTTTCACAGGAAGCGCTCAGCCTGTGATCTGCTGTGAGACGGTCCGAAGACAAAAACAAAACTGTACAGAAAGCTACTCTCCGCTGTTGGCAAGCCGGGCCGTAAATGCGGCACATATGCTGTTGAAGGAACTCACAGTCCCATAGAGAAAGTATAGCCATAAAAGCTCATTTCATTTCTTCTTCTCAACTCTCCGGATTGATGGAAAAAGATGGACTGATCCGGACTTTGCGGAATCATATCAAGCCAAGTGCCGTCAAATTTCTGAACCCATCTCTGCTGAGGAACAACATATCCTGGCACGTATTCAACGTTCTGAGTGTGAGGGTTCGTTCGGTAATATGCAGGTCGTTCATAACTCCAACCGTAACCACGGTGTCCGGTTGAACTTGACGATGCACTTTGGTCTCCCTGATTTAGCCACTGCGAACCTGTCATACGGGATGGAGGTGCAGGTGGCTCAGGTACGTTGACTGGCCTCTTCTGTGATCTTTCCCGCCATGGCGGCCGAGCCTTCGGTGGTTCTGGTGTTCGACTTGGAAGTCTCGTAGTAGCGGGTGATCGTCCGGGAGGCGGAACTGGTGGAGCCTTGGCAGGCGGTGCTTTGACAGGCGGTGTTCTAACAGGTGCTCGTGCTGTTGATGTGGATGTTGGTTCTTGTTTAAGGTGAGCAGGAGCTGCCTTGTAGCGTACTGGTACCGAAGTTGTAGTTGTAGCTTTTGGTGGTGTGGCAGGAGCTCTTACAGGCGCAGGAGGTGGCGTTGGTACATCTGCCGGTGGTCTGTTACTCCTGGCTCTGCTGACAGATGGGGATCGAGTCTGTCCTACATGTTTGTCAGAATCTCTCCGCAGAGGCGGAACACTATCTCTTCGCTCTTGGCGCTCATGTCTGGATTCTTCTCTTCTGTCAAGATATCCTTGATTTCGATTCATCCATTTTTCACGTCTTTTATCTTCTGATTCTTTAGTTCGGATGCGCATATTGTTGAGCGATTTCAACTGTGCAAAGGCAAGGAGAGGCGAGTGCCATGCACAGTCCTTCTCTGCCAAACCTAAATCATATGGCAATAAATGTTTTAACTGCTCAACATCATTCAACATAACTTCGTCGGAAAAGGCTGAACCTGAAAATCCATCCGCAGAAGCGGAATCTTCTTTGGCACGAGCTTCCGTAATGGCGGTTTGCTTACCGTAACAAAGAGAAATTAAAAGCATTGAATCACAATCAGCAACTTCGCCAGACATGCTTCGGATGTAATCGGCTGCAGTGGTCGATGAAACTACGTTATACGTAATGCGATTGATCGGACTGCGATGCAAATTGATCTGTTGGAGAAAACGTTCAAGAATGTCAATCATGATGCATGTCCGGAAATCGGAATGGTCATCAGACTTGAAACTGCGTTGGGCAAAAAGGTTGCCATCACCTGAGAGAAAATCACATTGGTGCTCGACGCAACTGGCCACAAAGCTAAGCCACTTTTGGCATGTCTCCTGATAAGCGTGGGCCCAGGCGTAAGACGAGATGTGAAAAACCGCAACGCGGCATTCGGCCAACAAGAGACGGCGAACGTCATGTGTGTCAGCACCGGGATTCACTTCGCAAACTTCAACACCAGAAACTGCAAGATCATCATCTCCATCAATTTCACAAATTGAATGATCAAGAAAATCCAAGGTGGTCGCCAACGGACGGTCGTGCTGATGAACAGTGGTCTCGATATTTCTGGCGACATCCGGTCTCGGAATGCGAACACCTGTGGCAGGATCAACAAACTCACCGGAAGTATTTTCTCCGTGACATAAACGGAAGATGGCACCGTGGAGAATCCAAAACGGGCTTGACTTACCTCCGGTCTCGATCTGGTGGTGTCCAAGGAGCCCGATAAACGAGCCAACATCATGAGAACCACGAAGAAAAATTGCAACGGATTGAGAATTAATTGCAGGGTGAACTACCATACCGATCATTCCATATTCATCTGCAAGTTCACGATGGACGGCAATTCCTCCGTATTCGTCAGCCTCACATAAACACACAATATGATCCGCATTACGGAATACAAGGTGTGGCAAAGCTCGATGGTTAATATCTGTTCGAACCCACTTGGGGAATTTGGAACAACTTCCGATATACGGAACACGGTTGATGTGAGCAAGATTCAAAGTCAAAATGCCAAGCTGATAGGTGTCTCTCTGAAAGTCATGGATGTTATCCTTGGTGCGCTT